CAAAATACCTGATCCTGAATATTTACTTAAGATTAACTTTTGTAACAATATATACAGCTAAAAAGGGTTGAAAAGAGAGAAAAGAGAAGGCCATTTCTTGGTCGTTTTTGTTTATAATAAGTTACAGAATTGTTATGACCTTGGGACCCATTTTTATTCATAGATATGAGTGTTCATTGCGAAAATCTCATGTTATGATCTCCAAATCTTTCCAGGTCATGCTCGCTCTATTGGCTTGTTAAGGGGTTTTCGACCGGATACAACGCTCCGCACCCTTTTGAATGATGGCACGAGTCAAGTGACAAAATAACAGTCTGGCCTTATTAGGTTGTGGGAAAATAGTAATGGGCTCGACTGTCAGAAACGGTGAACTGTTGTGGAGCAAAAATGTGCGATTTTCCGTTCAACGAAGGCGAGAGGGAAAGAATGAGAGGGGGGGGGAGGAGGAGTTTGTGTGCTTTCAAACAGCACCTCGTTCATATATCTCACGCGAAATAATCTCAATGGGCGGTTTGATTATTTTTACGGGAATAAAACTATGCTGGTTTGGTCCTGGTTGATCACTGTTGAAGCACCCGCCGTATACACATCCACTCAACAACCGAGCCTAGATTGTATACCTTGTCAGAGTAAAAGTTTAGGACAAGAGGAGAAGTCCTCATTGTATGATCTGAAAAACTGTAAAAATATTTTATGAACAACAAATTTCACAGAGAAACGACGACAGTGTATTGGCACGAGCACATAATCGGCCAGATATAGCGCCATCTATTATATTTAAAATTACCATACGGCATACCTTGTACGTGCCAAACGTCCTTCACCGGAACATATTTTCAAATAGAACACATTGCTGGTATCCTTTAGAACGAATTTAAGGCACTCACGTCAAAACCTAACGTCCTTGCCTCAAAATGTAAGGTACGCTCCATTGTTTGACATTGGGGAGGTTCTGGTCGATTTCACCAGATACGGCTGACAGGGCGGGCATCGATCCGCGAGTCTCGTCGCCTTCCCGTTCACAGTGACGGATCGTCCTGAGAGTTTTGCCGAAGGTGCCTTAGGTTTTGACTCCAGGTACGTTAGAAATTGATCGTAGGACGTTCTGTTTCGACTTTGGGGGAGCGAAAATCGAATATTGACGACAGTACGTATGGTTTTGGCATGGATACGTTCAGTTTTGAAAGTTATCATTTATCGAGAAATCGCAGATACGCAAATGAGGTCATTGTGCATTACCCTAGCCTGGCCTATAGTTGCGAGAAGCTCACATAGTTTTCTCGATCCCGTACGTCTAACATGGAGTCTCAATGGTGAAATTGAAGCGGATCATGAAAATTCTTGAAATATTAAGCTCGAAAAGAAAGAGAGAAACCCATGTCTGGACTCCAGAAGTACTCGTGACCCTACGAAAAAAACGTTTATTCGATGTGAAACCTGAGAAGTTTTACCTATCATTATAAATTGGGTCTATTGGAGCTTACAATTCCTTATAGTGGATTTCTTTTCATTTCCATACTAGAAGCAGTGACATACACGTGTACATATTCATGGTTCAGTAGAGTCGGAGTTTTCCCCTCAGTCACACATTATCGTCTTTTTATTTTCTTTCTGTATGATACATAAGCGAGAAATCTATGAAAAGACAGAATACTCAAGGTTCCAAACTATGCATTTATCGCATGATGCCAATTTGAGTTTAGAAAATAGGAGGAACCAGCTGAAGAGACTCTTTCTGCTTTTATTCCGGCCTCCTAATTTTCAGAATAATTATTTTCACGGTCTCTTCTTGACTGTTTATAGACATTCCTTATCCCGTACGTTTCAATATTGAAGAGCGTACTTTCATTTTGATAAAGGGACGCACTTTTCACTGTCGGACGAATGGATGTGAGAAAAGAGCGCAGCGTTTTGCGGATCGTACGTTAAGTTTTTGAAAAATGTCCATCAATATATGAAATAGGGCTCTAGCAATAGGGAAAAGCTGTAATATTCAAACGTATAGGATTTGTTTTTCAAATACCAAAACAACAATGCCTAGTATTGTTTTCAACGATATTGAAATACGAAAGCAGACAATTTGAAAACACATGCGTAGTTTTCGAAATATTCTTGTACATTTTCTCAAAGAAAGGAAATTGTCGAAGAACAACACGCGAGACAGTTTTTCTTGGAACCTGCAACCCGAACTTTTCAAAGAGTCTACATTTACTTGGTGGACAAGAAGCATTTTGCCAAATAATGCTACCTTCCTGCAAAGCGACAACTTTTTAGAATAATGGTAGGAAGAGTGGACTTCTTTTCCAACTGCATGTTACATTTGGACAGAACCAACGTGGAGCCATAAAAAGGAAGATGATTATATTTCCTCTTTTGCTGATTTTTGCCAGATTCCTCCCAGAAATGCCACTGATTCTGCTTTTTTTCTTTCAATTGCAGGTGAGTGGTTCCTGGGCGTTTAGACATGAGAGGTTTAAATAAAATCTTTACGAAATGAAATTTATTTTCTGAATCAATATCCATGAGATTCTCACTCAGATACAAATCCTCTTCACTCACATTTACCCATTTACCGTCATATTTACCTTGAGAAACACAAAATTGGCTATCAGGAGGTTCCGTGTGAAGTTGTCATTAAAAAGGTGTTCCGGCTTCGCAATTATTTTTAAAGTATTTAAATATACAGGGTGTTCCACTTATCACGCACGATTTTAATCGCGTATGAAATTCTTGCTATTAGGTTGTCCCAAAAGTTTATTTCGTTTTTTACAAAAAATGAACCATGCGAAATTTCGAAAACGGCGAAATTTTATTGAAGTATATATGTGCCACTCTGTTCAACAACCTTCTTCCATCTCTCCGGAAGTCTCATAATGCCTTCTTTCCAAAACGTTTGTGATTTGCTAGCAAAATACGTATCGAGGTGATTTTTCAATGTTATTCAGAGAGTCAAATTTTTTGGCGAAGGGAGTTTTTGAGGGAAAGAAGCAAAAAGTAGTCGGACCGAGGAATGTCCGGAGAGCAGGGAGGGTGGGGCAGAACGTTCCAATCGAACGCAAGGAGTTTGTTTCTAACAGCCAAAGATACGTGTGGCCTGGCGTTGTCATGGTGGAAGACAACACCTCGTCTGTTTGCTAATTCTGGGCGTTTCCTGGCTATTGCTGACTTCAATTCGTCGAGTTGTGAGCAGTATTTTTCAGAGTTGATGGTCTGGTTTGGTGGAAGCAGCTCGTAGTAGAGAACACCCTTCCAATCCCACCAAATAGACAGCAAAACTTTCTTCGGGTGGAGCCCGGCTTTAGCGACAGGAATAGGACCTTTGTCTCTGCTGGACCAGGATCGTTTGCGTCCCACGTTGTCATAAAGTATCCAACTTTCATCCCCGGTGACCAATCTTTTCAAAAAAGGATCTTTTTCGTGGCGTTGGAGCAGCAAATCGCAGATGGAAATGCGGTCTAGGATGTTGCGCTCCGTCAGGTCATGGGGTACCCACACCTCATATCGATAGTTCACAATATGTAGAGGTCTGTTTAGTATTTATTGTGACAAAGTTTCTGCCCCCAAAAATTCGCCAATTACAAGTTATGAACTTCAACATGACCCCCGTCGATTTCAAACACTTTTTCCAATCGTGCTTGGTATTCAAGCAGCGTTTTCTGGCGCATTTCAACGGTAATGTCTCCAAACGCAGCGGTAATACTTTCCTTCAGTTCGGGAATGTTCCCCGGTAGTCGCATAGACTTAGAACTTGACAAAGCTCCACATGAAGAAGTCGCACTGCGTTAAGTCAGGCTAATTGAGTAGGGCCAGGCCAGGGCATTGTTGGTGATTCCCCACCCATCCATCGATCCGGAAACTTTTCGTTCAGCCAGGCACGAACTTCTTTATCGAAAAGAGGCGGGCACCATCCTTAATGCCAAAGAAAAATTCTGGCCAAAAATTGAATAACAAGGATTGGCTGATGATGCAGGATGCAGGTCTTCATGCAGGATGGTCCCCTGCCTCTTTTCGGTAAAGAAGTTCGTGCCTGGCTGAACGAAAAATTTCCGGATCGATGGAAGGGTCGTGGATCACCAACAATGCCCTGGCCGGCCTATTCTCTTGACTTAATGCATTGCGACTTCTTCATGTGGGGCTTTATCAAGTCGAAAGTCTATGCGACCAAACCGAGGGACATTCCCGAACTGAAGGAACGTACTCCCGCTGCGTTTGGAGATACTACCGTTGAAATGCGCCAGAAAACGCTGCTTGAATACAAGGCACGATTTGAAATCGACGGGGGTCATGTTGAAGTTCATAGCTTGTAACTAGTAAATTTGTTTTGGCTGAAACTTTGTCACAATAAATGCTAAACAGACATCTAAATATTGTGAAAATTTTGTTTAGTTTGCTCAAGTAGGAATAATTTCATACGCGATTAAAATAGTCCGCGATATGTGGGACACCCTGTACTTCAAGCTACGCCAATAGTAATTTAAAAAAAAACCAAGTGTGTACTAAGGTTGATGAGGTACTTGAGACGTTTCGAAACGAGGGGGATATAGCACGGTTTCTGTAACTTCCCACGGAGCCTTCCGTATATGATATTTAATGATAAGGAACCTCCTATTAATAACAATGAAGAACCTCCTGTGGGGCTTACAATGTGTCCTGAAAAATCTTGCAAGAGAATGTAGTACTCACTAACCCCATCTATGAAACAATTTATATTTATTTTAGGTTTCGGTGCAGCATACTGATCACTTGCAAATTAAAAGAAAATGCAACAGACTAAATGGAAGTTCTGGTGGGAAAATAGGGGGAAAAACCTGTATTAAACAAGAAAAGTACATTAATTTTTTGTGTTGGGCTCAAATTAGATTCATTTCAAATTGAACAAGTGACTCCAAAAAACGAATTCATTCTACTGCTATCATCTTGCAAACTTTGCAGCATGCCTGTGGAATGCCCGAGTCATCAAATGGACTTTAGCCTGATAGTTGAGCATAATGTGTCGTATCTCACAATTCCCCGGCTCCGTATCCGTGCGTGCGAGTACCAAAGGACACTGAAGCCGTGATGCAGACGATCCCAAAGGGAACACCATATCCGATGATAAAATGCGCTCGTGTGGAAAGTCTGAAACGCTTAGGCTTGCCGACCAGTTTCCGATAGATGGAGAGGCACTCCAAGGCCAGCCACATGAAGACGCAGAGGAATATCAAGTGCATGAACATTCCAGTGATGGCGCAACCGACCTGCGATATATTCGAGACAAAGAGGATTATTATACTCTCTCTTTGTGAAAAATTAAAATGATTTGAGCTTTCCTTCTGAATAAAACCTAGTTCGTTGGGTTTCTAGTAAGAGGCCAGTTCGTTGTTCAGTTCAGTATTAATCACAATAACCTATTCTAGAGTCTAATTCTATTTTGCCTCAACTGAAAAAGTCTGCTGACCCGCAGCGATGAATTACGTAAATATACTAGTTATTGGGCATGGGACGGATACTCACATGTCTTACTGAACTTTCAGCCCAAATTTTCGAATGAACATTAATCGCTTTTACTTATTTCGTCGAAGCATTTTTTTTTTTCAATAGAGGACAAGATATTCACAATGATTGAGATAGGTAAACATCTGTAAAACTGTTGACAGTCATTACATAACGGACCATGCCCATGATTGGAAAAAGGAATTAGCTTAAAATGTGCTTTCATAAGTGATGATGGGAAAATACTGAAGCCAAGTGATTTCCAGAGACACCAAAGTCTCACCTCGGAAAGATTGAAGATGTAACGGTCAATGAGCAGGAATAGACATATCTGGCCCAACAAGAGGCAAAGGCACAACTGCTGACTAGGGTTCACCAATGTTGAGTTTTCATTTCTACAAAAGATGAAGAGGCTTTCAGGATGAAAAAAGCCATCATCGAATATTCTACTACTGTTCAATGGAGACGAACCTATTAATATGGAAGACGACCAGGGAAAATACGAGTCCGATCATGGAGAGGGTCGAAATGAAAATGAGAAATATGTTCAGTGCGACACTGCGTCCCTGAAACAAATCCACGCCATGGTAATTTTTTCGCATCTTCGAAGCCCTATTTGCATTTTTAGTTTATTTAGGAGCTACTTTCTCCTACTCACAACATATTGATGGGAGTCCACGAGAATCCCAAAATCGGTGAAATGGCTGCATTCACACAGAGTTTGTTTCCTGTCAGATGACACCTCCCGGCAGCCTGTAGTGTCCCAATAACCCCTGCAATTACCCTCACTAAGCCGTAAAAGTTTAGGACTTAGACACTCCTTTATTACCGTATAGAGCCTTACTATGCTGCGTGACAAGCGACTTCAAGGTCTTTGACGTAGCCACCGAGGCCCCATGCTTACAACGCTCTTCCCCTTCGTGCAGGTCCCTCCAAATGTCACGATACGGAGGGTCCTGAATGTGATGCAAGTTTTCCATAACGAGAGTAACGGGATTCGCCCGTTGCAAACAACCGAGGGGAAAGGTTCACTTCGACTCTTCAAATCTTAAGTCCCAGAAGACGAGAGAGTTGGACGTTCTCGTTACTAAGTTTTAACCTGCTATTGATGATGGAATACAATGAAAACATCCCTATAACATACACGTTTTGATGACCAGGCAGCAGTTGGTCCAAGTTCTGAACGGCATACAAAACCCCAACATAGGAGTAATGGTTGCCATCCGAATCACCTTCAGATGTTCCGGGAAGCTTCAAATACGTCTTGCTTTCCGTGCTGGGGAAGATGAGTGGATTTGACCGAGCTCCCTTCTTTTGTCCATGAACCTCAATCAAAAATGTCGATTGCGCTGCTACAAACTCAAGTTCCTCGTCAAAGCCCATGAGAAGTTTCTCCGACAAATCAAGAGACGAGCGACTTATTGTCCTGAGGAGGGATGTGAAAGTCTTCGTTCGATTGGCCTGTGTAGGAAGAGTACTACAAATGAGCTTTTTCAATTTTGTTCCTTTAATGAAATTATGTGGCTAGAAGCAAAAACAATGTTTAGCCTCTAAATTAAAAAAGAAAAACCTTTCAAAATCGAAATTTCTGGGCATATAGTTATGCTTTTGCCTAATGGATGTGTAACTTCTTTCCTAAGGTATTTTCTAAGCATTACCGTTTAGTTTCCGCCCCTTTATGCCACACCTGTAATCAAATTGCATACTTGGGCCTCAAGAACATCACGATTGTTCTCCCCAGAAAGTCCATTAAGGTGAAGTACTGTACTTCCGCGAACACGAGACAGAAACTTCTCCGAAGCACATGAGACGTTTCAGAATAATTTTCCCTTGTGTTCCGCATATAACGTGAAAAAAGACGCTTTCGGAATTGGTTCACGCTTACAGGTAATAATTGCATCCATCCCTCGGAGACTGCGAGCACCTGGTCGACAACCGATGTGAAGTTGGCAAGAAAAGTTTTAACATTCTGCTGAAGCATGTCGTCTCCGACTAAGCCATGGTTAAAGGCTTCAAACAATCGGTTGAGTAAATCCACAATCTTCTCAATCTCCTCCCCTGACAAATCCTTTACGCCTTCGACCGCCAAAGTCAAGTTGGGCAATATGTCCGGAATATTCGAATCGTTCAGCTTGGAAAATACATAATTAATCGTAATACAGCTGTGATGATTTCTGGGGGAAAAGGAGCACATGAGATGCATAAAATTACCAATCCCCTCAGATCATCGATCCAGTCAGTGAATGAAGTGCAGTTTTCGAGCATCACGAATCCATCTTCAGAGCACGTCCATCGCTGGTGGCCGTAATGATGATCGGGACAGGGCGTTACAATCACGTCGCCCTCCAAGGCTGGGAACTGGATGCCTTTTATCTTAAGCTCCGTGCAGTTGCGGACTAAAGAGGATTTTAAATAATAGTAATTGTTCCCATGTGTTCTTCGGACACCGCTTATTGCATGTTCAATCAAATTCCGTTTGAACCTGATAGTTAAGGTATAATAATTCACAGCGGTTCCAATTCCTCAACGGTTCCTTGGAAATGTTCAGTTTAATTTAGTTTGACTAAACTGAACTAGATTAATTGACTCGACAACCATTTAAAATTACTCACTTTTAACAATCTTGGAGATGATAACGGCAGAAATAGAAGGATTCAATATTTAAAAAAAACATGATAAAATGATAGCTCACGACAAAAGCCTCCTTTTTCGACATATCCTTCCGCACATGCACAAAGGCTCTCTGGTAATGCGGAGACACACTGGGCATGATGCGTGACGCACTTGGCAACGTCTGGGATGCATTTCTCTCCCAGTCCAGGGTAAGACTTAACTGGATCGCAACCGCATGAAAATAAAAACATAATGATAGTAGACGAGAGGGACATTGATGGAAACTCACCGCAGGTGCCATCGTTTTCCACGAATTCAGTCTTGCATTCGCATCTTCCCTTCGAACATTTAGTGTTATATGCATCACAGCCGACAGCAGAGTCGCACTCTTGTCCAAGGCAAGGCAGCCCTTTCAGCAAGAAATGGAGCTAATTAGTATTTTTATAGTGTCCATAAATTATTGGAACAATTTTGTGACGACACCGTTTCCAAGCCAAATAAGGGAGAACATTCAAACTTGGCAGTTTTAGACAGGAATATTATGAAGTTGTTATTGCTACCTTGATAGCGTTGAACCATATAAGTTGTGCGCGCACCGTTGGTTTTTTAATGATTTCCGCCCAACAAAAGCTAATCGCGTTCTGTTTAAATGAAGCGAAAAGTGCAAGAAAACATAGGAAGTTCAAAACCTGTGTTTGACAAAGATCCTTCCTCCAGGATCCCCTTTTACGAGTGACACAATACATTTCGGGAGACTGGATTTCTGTCAACAGAAAGGAGCTGGGCAATCGAGCTTCGATGCAGACTGTGGAGGCGATTCGAAGAGCTTGTTCGTAGGTGTCCCAAGGAAAGTATCCACTGGACGAATCAAAAACTTACTCTCCAAAAACCAACCGATAACAGGGTCTTAGGATTCTTATTTTGGATTTTCTTCCGTTGGCGAAAGGCCACAAATACTTCCCACCCCTGCCTTGAACAATTGAGAAGCAGAGGAACTGAATTAAGTCACATATTGGGTATTGCCGGGCCAGGCATGCTCTTCCGAGTTTGGAGGGATATCGAATACGGATTTGCCATGAGACAGGCGGAAGCCACAAAAAATTTCCTTAAAGTATGCATGAAAACATTTGGTCATATTTTCAACAATTTCTTAAGTTCGAACGTTCTCCTCGTTTGAAGATTCAAAACTGTGAAGTCACAAAATCGTAGAGAACATTTTTGGGTACAATGTGCTGAAAATATACATAAGCATAGATGTAAAATTCTCAATGCAAAGACTTACTACATAATTTATTCTGCACTTGATATCCTGCATTGCATTCGCAAGTGTCATCCGTGCAGTTCGCATTGCTCACACAGTCTTCCGCATCTGTGCAGTAGCTACCAACCTTAGCCTCTGCCATGAAACATAAAAAATCCAAATAAGAGAAAAAGGTGTGACGATGTCATTTGGTGACAAGCAACAGACGAGGGATTTAACATCTGAGCAAGCGACGAATGTACGATTTAAATATTTCCACATCCGTACCATCTTCATTTACACCTTGATAGGTGATGATTCCCTCAATGAAACAATGTAGTTAGACCAAGTCGCTTCATGTGCAATGGTGTTCAACTCAATCTGAAAAAAACTTAAGAAATAACCTACATAAAACAGATTTAGCATTACTCGAGCACTATAACCTGTGGCGAAGTTTTGAAATAAATATTCCTAATCTTCATTATAATAAATTGTTTCATCTTCTTTAGTCTTTCTTCGGTTGTAGCACAATGACAGATTCATCACAAGGCAAAGCAAATTGTGGGTATATCTTTATGACGATTAAAATGCTTGATAAATCTCGGAGGTTGCAGGCCAGAAATACCCTGTTTATCTCCTGAATTATATGTTAATAGTATCAGGAGCTAATATCGGTATCTGTTTTCATGAATGAGCTCAATCAGATGACTAGACTTGAAAATCTCCTAAAGTCTAATTTTTAACTATTTTGGAACTGACGAACGGATCGTAATCGTATGAAAATAAAAACATGATGACAGTAGACGAGAAGGACATTGATGGAAACTCACTGCAGACGCCACCATTTTCCAGGAATTCAGTGGTACAATTGCACCTTCCCTGGGAACATTCAGTGTTATTTGCATCGCACCCGGCACCAGAGTCGCACTTTTCTCCGAGGCGAGGCAGCCCTTTCAACGAGGAATGTTGTTAATTAGGATGTAAATTTCAGACTAGATTTCAAATTTTATTGGAATACTTACTACATAATTTATTCTGCTCTTGATATCCTGCCTTGCATTGGCAAGTACCACCTTTGCAGTTCGTGTTGCTCACACAGTCATCCGCCTTAGTACAGGTGCTACCAGCCTGAGCCTCTGGCATGAAATAAAAAAGTGCACGTAAGAGGAGTTGTGACATGATGAAGCGGCCACTGGCTCACGCGGGAATCGTTTTCTTTTATTTTAGCAATCGACATGAAAGGAGTCAAATACATTTATGAGTCTAGGCTGCGGATCGCCTGAATGAAAAAGTCAGACTCGATAACGACAAAAGAATTAACTCTGGACGAGATGTTTCCTCTTCGGATAAATAACCTGCAATGTCTCTACATAGTTACTAAGCTCGTACACTCGACACGATGGATAATTTACGGAATCCCTATTGTTCTTAGACGGTTTGCCAACTGCCTTTATGAGATGACCAGTCTGGACGGGCGTTTGTCGTACATTACCCCACATCAACAATTCATCTTCGGACTGACGCGTTCAAACTCATACAAGGCGTGAGAGTTTTCCCATGAAATTGCGTTGTGTGTATTCACCCTGCCACTCACATGGCACGCTGCTTCAGCTTAAATAATCCAACATCTTGAAAAGGCCTTTTCTTCCGCACTGAGTTTTGCAAAATAACACTGACGATGCCAGTAAATACGTGGGGAAAACTTGCACGTCGCTATGAATGTTGCCGGGTACGAGAAGGTGAACATGTTGAGAGGCAAAGCGAACTAGCTTGATATGTGTGTCGCTCAAGTTTGGTGGTTCTGGGACAAATATTTGCTTTATAATAAAGAAATAGCTTTTAATGAAATTTTGAGACGCGCGCTGGACATGGATTTCTAGGGTTTCATTGGAGGAGCATTTTTGTGAAGTTGTTCTGATGGATGTGTTGTCGTAGTAATGTTGTACCTCGTATGCCGCCAAAGGTGACTACAATCACTTATATGGTCAAAGCTATGTGGCCACTCACGGACGTCCTTAATTTTTTTCTTGCGTTCTTCTTCCCCTCCGCTCTCAATCTTCTTTGACAATTTGCAGTCTGTTCTTTTTCATATAAATTCAGCGATATCATCGTAATTTTACATCAGTTACAGTTAATGTTACATCAGATATCGACATTACATGAACGGTGATTCTACTCATAGCTGACTGACCCCTCATCGTCTTAAAATCGCATTTTACAACTGAAGGAGAGTCGGGTCAAAAAATTCTTGCCCCGATGAAATGATATTGGCATTATTAAACCGGATGCCGTCACCTGGATCAGTATTAAGCTCACACCGAAAAAAACTTTCAAAGCGACCCACGTAATAGCATGTATAATACGTGTATTGCATTACACAAACCTATAACCTGATGATGGGTTTTGCAAGAAATCTTCGTATCTAACTTAGTTCCCCTTCGTCGTTGGATTCATCATTTGGCAACGCAGATATGGCAGAAGTCATGAAAAAGTCATAACGCACAACAAAATCCTCCTTTTTCCACATATCCTTCTTCACATTTGAAAAATACATTTGGTACTGTGAATAAACATTCCGCATAGTGACGTCCTTTGCAAGGTCCAGAATTAATTTTTTTCCAGTCCAGGCCATGTCATTACTGAATCGCGGCAGTATGATAACAACACGATAACAGAAGCCGAAAAGGAAATCATTGGGAACTTACTGCAGAAACCATCACTTTCCACGAATGCAGTCGTGCATTTGCATTTTCCCTCGGAACATTCAGTGCTATTTTCATCGCACCCGACAGCAGAGAAGCACTTGTCTCCAAGGTGAGGCAGCCCTTTCAACGAGGATTGCAGTTAATTGAAATGTAAATCTAGCACATTTTCATATTCTAGATTCGAATACTTACTGCATAATTTATTCTGTTCTTCATATCCTTCATTGCATTGGCAAGTATCACCTTTGCAGCTCGCGTTGCTCACACAGTCTTCCACATTTGTGCAGGTGGTACCAGCCTTACCCTCTGCGATAAAACATTAAAAAATGCAGGTATGAGGGAAGGGTGCGACATGTCCATTCTGCTTTTTAAAATAATTCTAAATGAGTAAGGTCGGAAAGCAAAAAATGTCCTGAAGGAAAATTTTTGCTGTGGCAGAATGTCTCCGCAAACAATATTTGAATGGAACTTTCGTTGAATATCCAAGGAGCATGCGAGAAGTCGTAGAAAACACGTAGAATGTAGAAATATAGGAATCCATCCAAAAAACTGTGAGTCCAACGAGTCACCTGAGTCAGACTTGATCTCTTTCAGCTTGTACTCTAGCTTCCATTGAGTAGGAGATAGTTCTCGAGACTCAGATCATGTTAAAATCTGGTTCCTATTCCATACGGTGTGCCCAAGTTTGTGAATGTGTGCCAGGCATAGCGGAGAGTTCCGAACTTCGCTTCAGCGTTTCCCAGAAGGGAAAATACTCCTGGTTCTGCATGATTTTGTAGCAATCCAAAAGCAAGCATTACAGCAATAAGACTTACTGGAGATGCCAAAAGTGCAAATGCATTGCACAAGAAGCGCCCGAAGGCGAATTTCTGTAAAAACAACCTCTAGAAATTGTGTCATCCTAATGAGTTTCACCTCCTTCAAGCCTTACAGAAGCAGAAAACGTATTTGTGGAATAGGAGATTGACAGGCGAGAAATGGGCCACCCATAAAAAAGCGAAGGAAGCAAGATGTTACCCGCGATGCACAACTGAAAGCTATTTGCATTGTTTGTAAAAATCTAGGTGCTACGGTGTACCTGCGAGCTATCGCGCGCGATCTGCACTTCTAAACGGTCGATTTGAGAGTTGACCTTGTGATTCAATGACTTGCAAGTGTTTTGATTTGAACAATTTCATTTCGACGTATTTATTTAACTTTCAACATAGTAAT